ATTGACTTGTGGCAAACCTATGTTTACTCAAAAAATTAATAGCTCTTGTATAAGTTCAGAGGTAGGAAATAAGAAAATAAAGATGAAGAAAAGATCCAATGACGGGGAAAAGTATTTTATGAAAATTAGGAACAGAGGCTAAAGATTGGCCATTTACAGTAGACTGTAAAGAGCTTCATAGGCCAAGCTAAGAGTTTTAAAGATTTGGCTTTAAAATTAAAGGAAGGTAATGTTATTTGTTACTGAAGAAATAAAAAGGTATTTTTCCCTATTAGAATGTTAGTATATATATATATACTATTATCAAGTTCTATATGTAAAGTTGTTTTATAATCAGGCATTTCCTGTACCTATATCTGATTCAAAATAATCATTATTCTAATGATAGAAAGCCATTTATCCTACCTTAAGTAAACAGAGTGAGGAAAAAACAAAGAGTAGCAAAAATATAGTATAATTTTTTCTTACAACACAATAAAAAAATGACAAGAAAACAACCTGTTGTCTATTCTAGTTTGTGACCCTCAGTGAAGACGACCATGGTACCTAAAGAATATCAAGCACTGTATTTTTCTCTAAGGATGTATGATGGAACAAGAAGGCAGCAATGGCCTAAGACCCACTCACTCACTATGATATACACATACTTTCCATAAAATCAATAAATTCAAGACAAGTGTTCCACAAACCCCACAACTGTTTACAAAAGAAAAATATAAAGAAAATGTTGAGGTCACTGGCTTAAATATCATAAATCTTTTAAATTTTTTAAAATTTTTGTATCATTTAAGGACCTTTCTAGAAAATAAGCATTAGTATGGAATATCAATTCATGGCCAAAAGTCAAGTCCTACAAAAATATCAAAGTTCACTGGTATACTATTCAAACGCAGATGAAATCATGTTAACATATTTCCTATATTAAGTTTGGAATGGCATCATCAATAACATCTACAGTAGCAGAGAGAGGATATATGAGCAATGAGGGAAAAGATTCAAAAAATAATAATTCAGAAATAAACGGTAGAAAAAATATATATATATTGTATTTTTTGTACTAAAATAAACATATAATGATGACTTCTCTAACTCCTTCTTGTATAAGAAGCTCATTTAAGTTTAGAGTTGATTGGTTCAGTTGACGGTGCTATTTTTAAACATTTACTTTTTATAGTACATCATACTTTGTTGGACAATAAGCAACAACAACAAAAAACTCTCTAGATTTCTATGCAAAAAAAAAGCCATGAGAGAAGTCATTAAAAAAAAACCCACACAATTTTAGAACAGATCCACTTTTATGAGAAAAAACATGTTCAGGAAAGGACACTATTAGTTATCTGCTATTCTACTGATTGATAAGTGTTTTGCCTAAGCACATACTATCAATCATTTTCTATTAAGCAAAACATCCTCAAGAAGAATATGCACATACGTGTAAGTGCATGTGTATTCAAGTCAATCAGACAATTAGAAAAACCAGTTCTTATCTACTTTTCAAAACACGACAGGTACTCTATATGATGTTAATGAACAAACAGTTACTATAAAACAAATAATAAAAACATTCATTAAAACAAAAAAATCCCAGCTAGTTTCCAACTTAAATTTACTCATTAGACAGGTAACTTTAAGTTCTTAAAACTTTTTAAAAATGAATTTTCCATTATTTTAAATCATTATTTATTTGGAAGTTTAATTTTGTTATACTAGAGTCATAGAAGAATAATCCAAAAAAAACGATTAAAATAAAACCTGTCCAGTCATATTATAGTCTTGAGATTCTAAATACTCTTTATACACAGAAAATTTATTTTTTTTCATAAAATGTTGTTTCATGCTAGTTGGGACTTAAAGCAAATTAAACTTCAGAATAGATAATTGTTTTTTTTGCCTGAATTAAGTTTAGAAATCTTGCTTAAAATATACAAAGTGCACTGAGTTGATAATATTGTATTGTTTTCCTGTTGTAATTCAGTTTTCTTAGTGATGACAACATAAATCTTCTGAGATACTAGTATTCAATATCAAGTGCTTGTTTAGAGTCCAGAACACTTCTTTAAAAATCAAAGGTTCGTTAATAATGCAATGAGAGGAACAGGGAAGCTTATGTTCTCTCTCTTTTTGGTGGAATCTTAAATGCCTTCACATAAGCATACAACTCTTACCTCCCTTTAACTCTGTATCACTAACTAATCTGTACTCGGAAATATGTATAATGTCTGTGGTGTTTATGGTAAGAATAAGAACTAAATTAAATACCAAATCTATTAACACCCATCTTTAGTGAATGAAAAGATAAGAATAGAATGAGATTTTAGAATAAAAAATAATCATCTTTGTTTTGTCACATGCTATAAAAACAAACAATGCAAAATGATACATATTTCAAATGTTCAGGTAAATGCTTAATTTCAAAAACCTTTTAAAGATTTATCATTATGATCAAAGCTTCTTATATATAAGACTTATTAATTTATCTTAATCCACTTTTATCCACAAATATATATATACTTTTAAAAAAACATTTTTAATAGTCTCACTTGTACACAGCAAGCCTAATGTTAAAATATGGGGAAAATTATGATGAAAATAGTACAAAAGCCAAAATAAACAAAAACAGAAAAAGAAAACATAAATAAATGTACTTCAACATATTCTATTCACAAATAGATGGCTATGGATATTTCTCATCACAGGACATAGAACAATTCTTACAGGCTGAAATTAGTTAAACTTATTCTCCTATAGCAGCAGTTTATTTGCCTTCACATATGAGCTCAAAATAATTCCAAGCAAAAACTTTAACTTGTCATTGTTAGAATTAATGATATATGGTATCCAGACAAAATAATTTCAGAATTAAGTTTTGAAATGTTATATTAATTTTCATTAGCCTTTTGTAAAAATTTTTCATCTATTGAGAAAGACAATGTCTCAGCTTTAACTTAGAAAAACTACTCTTTTTTTTTTTTTCCCCCAAAATGGGAAGCAAGCTGAAATTGCTTAAACAGCCATTCTATTTCTACTACCCTTTCCTAAAGTAATTTATAATGAACAAAAAATAAGCATGTAAGTTTTGGAAGATTAAAAATCCCAAAACTAGAACTAATTAGAATATTAAGAAACTCCTTTCTTTAATCTAAATTAGCTGTCTACAGTTCACTTAGCTAAATCTAAAATATTTATTGACTCTAAAGTAGGTTATAATTTTTAGAAACTACTACTCCCAGATCTCAAGATTTAGCAAATTTACACTTGCCTCCAGAAACCACTAGTTTTAACTAAGTTATGGCTCACAAAATGAGTCTAAAAATCTAGTGTTTTAGTGTTTCACTACTCCTGCTGTTCCCTGACCAATATTTTGAACCAGAAATGACCCAGTCTCAAAGTAAAGAAAATGCCATTCAACAAGTATTTATAAAGTACTTATTATAAATCAGATATTGGGGGTAGAGCCCTGAAAAGTATTTGAAAACATCTACCTTCACATAGATTATATTCTATTACACAAAAGGGAGCCTTAAGAAATAATTATAAAAAACACAAAACATAAAAGTTCTTAAAACTCAAATTATTAAAACAAAGATGCAAAAAGTCTAATTCATATGTCATAAAAACTCACTATGTTCTTTATCTTTGATATGAGAGAGACAATCAATTCAGATTTTACATATGAGCCACATATAAATTTTAAAGTAAGTTTGCCATTCTCTATAGTTCCCAAGACCAGCAGTCGCCAACTGATGGTCCTAGGGCCACTGGTGGTCCATCAGGTATGAAAGGTTAGCAACCGCTGCCCTAGACAGTGCCCTTTCTCAGAATATCTCCTTTCCCTCCCAAATATTTTTTGAATGTTTATAAAATAATACTTACACATATACTAACAAATAGAAGTACTAAAATTTACCAAAGGAAATGATTTGAAAGCATACTTAATATCTAAGCAAAATTGCTTAAAAACTGACATAGACGAGGCTCACCCCTTTAAAGATGCCATGGTCATGGTCATGATATAGTCATCAAAGATAAATATTCCTGTTGGTACTAGGAGGAAAATCTTGGAATACCAAAATCTTATAGGTCTGAATTAAATCAATATTTTAAATATAAGTACCAGTAGTATATAAACTTTGTCATGACACTTCCCATCAGAACATAGTTCATTCATTGCCTGATAACACCATCTGAGTTTTATTTGAACTTTATTATATACTTACACAAGATGAGTTTTTCCCCCCCTCCAAATAATTATTTTTTCTATACCAAAAGTAAAATGACTATTACACATTTTCTGATTATGGAATAGAAAGTCAACAATGAGTAATAATTTAATTGAACATCAATTCTAAAATTACATTTATAATTAAACATGTCTGCAAAGGGCAAATACTTTATTGCCATTTAATTATTTTTTTAAGTTCTCATGTATCAAGTATAATCAAAGCTATGCAAATAAATAAAATACCACAGAATAGGAATAGGGAGGGAAGATGCCTGTACAATATATGGAGTTCATTAATGCTTACCTCCCCACGTACTTGCTACCTGAGAAGTAGCTGTCATAGAAAGTCCAGGTGGGTGAAAAGTTGGTTGTTGCAAATCAAGCAAATCATTTGGTAGCTTTGATGAGCTAGGAAGATATTTTGAAAAGATGATTAGATAAACTTTGCCACTTAGTCACTCCCTTTTCCCAAGTAAATAAAAACATTACAAACAAAACTGAGAGAAAGTCTCAAAATGTAAATCTCAGGAGGAATAGTTTCAGTAAGATAACAATGGCATATCCTTCACACACCAGCATATTTCTAAGAAGGCCTAGAAAAATATTCAAGTAACCATATTTTTACTTTGCAGAGAATTCAAGTAATAATTACCCTTCAGGAAAAAATCAGTAACTTCCCCAGTAAAGTACTGATTTTCTTATTGAAATGAATCTAAATGACATGATTCAAAATATGAAATATCACGGCAATTTTAATTTTTTTTAAATTGTTTTCTTTCTTTTAATCTTCAAAGAATTTCAATTGCATTTGCAATATCAATACACATACACAAAGTAAAATATCTATTAACGTCACCTCTACTGCTTCATACTCCAAACATGTCAATAATTCAGGAGAAAATTATACATGCAACTAGCTATAAATTTACAACACCCATCCATTACACAACTCCAGAGGGGAATGCTTATATATTTTTTACCACAAGACTTTTATGTAATTAAGGAATAACTCAAAAAACAATCCTAGGATTTCCATGCACTGAAGCATTAGCGTACCACAGCTTAGATCACTTGTAATTTACACTTAAAACTGTTTTAAAGAAATGTCTTTTAGATACAAAAAAATTTTTTATACATTGGTTAAGTACAAGTACAAATACATTTAGAATATGCAATAAGCATTCTATAACAGGCTGTAAGATTTGCTCTTAATTACTATAAAAAAGGTGAAAACTTCTGAGTAGATTAAGTAAAATAAAACAAAGTCAAATTAGATGAAAAAAATATTTTTTAATCCTCAAACATTCAACATTCTTTCCCATTCATTTCCCCTAAAACAAACTTCTTTTCAAGGTCCCCAAGTGGAAAATGTAATAATGGGTTCAATGTCATTTTGTTGGGGATTAAGGAAAGTGGCATATAAAAGGAAAGCAAAAAAGAAAGCTGAAAGAAAAACACATAACTAAATTCACTAAACAACTGAAACTTTAGGGAGCTAAACACTGTGTGCTAAATTTAGGAGCCTGTTGAAAATGAAAATTCTTGGTTCTCCCCCCACACCAGAAACTCAGGGTGGAACTAAGACATCTGTGGTTTAATTAACCCTCCAGGTGATTCTGATGCTTACTTAATATTGAGAAACTCTGACCTATACTGTACTATACATTACCTTCTTTAGAAACTGAGGTTAAAAAAAAAAAAAAAAGATTATTAACAAAGTCAGGATTCAAACCGCAATCTGACTTCCACACTTCTATTTTAAACCACTATGAAGTAAAAGACAGAACAGATTTGAAAAAGCCAATTATTTTAATTTGCCTAGAAATATTAAGTAGCTTAAATTAAGTAACAAGATTATTGATATTGATCTGTTAGGCTTCAGTAGGCAACTAGACTATTACTGTGCTCCAGACTACTGAGTTTAACACCAAGGAATGGACATGAAAAAGACATTTAATACCCAATGAAAGGATATTTTGAAATACATGTCTCTCTCTCTCTCTCTCTCTCTCTCTCTCTCTCTCTCTCTCTCTCTCTCTCTCTCTTTCACACACACACACACACACACACCTCGCACAGTTATAAGGGGTCTTGAACCATTAGACACCTCATAAATGTGTTTATAAGCAATGACATGTTTGCCAAGAGATAATCTACTCTATTTCAATTATAAACTAGAGGCCTGGGACATGAAATTCGTGCACTCACAGAGGGGGAGGGGTCCCTTAAGGCCAGCCTGTACTCTATCACAGCCCGAGAGCCCAGGATCAGGCCTAAACTGGCAGTGGACATCCCTCTCGAAATCTGGGACCACTGGCTCCTAATTACTCACCTGTCTGCCTGCCTGATGGCCCCACCCCCTCCACCTGCCTGCCTGATCGCCCCTAACCTCTCTGCCTGCCTAATTGCCCTGCCTCTACCTACTGGCCTGGTTGCCCCCAACTGCCCTCCCCTGCTGGCCTGCTCTTGCCCCCAACTGCCCTCCCATGCCAGTCTGGTTGCCCCCAACTGCCCTGCCCTGCCAGCCTGATCTTGACCCTAACTTGCCCTCCCATGCCAGCTTGATCACCCCTAACTGCCTCTGTCCCCATCACTATGGCTTTTCTGGAAGGAAGTTGGCCATCAGTCAACCTGGTCTAATTAGCATATTACCTTTTTATTAGTATAGACAGATTATAGAAAATAGGATTGCTTAGATTGGGGGGAGGGGCTTTTTCAGCAGGAGGAGATGCTCTTGGCAGACAAAAATACATAATCCCTCTATCTGGACTGATAGCCAACCATATGCACTATATTGCCAAACTGGTCATTAAAAAATTGAACTGCTTTCTTACACCTTATCCCAAACAGCGGTTGCTCTTAAAACCCCTTCTCAGTCATCACCTTAGGTTTTGCTTTCACAGTTCACCTAAGATTGGGTTCTGACTAGTTGGTTTCTATGCCAGTCAGCATCAAAAGCTCTGTCTCCTAAGCAGCCACTGGCTCCTGACATTCACCCAGATTTGGTTCTGATTGGTCAGTTTCTATGCCAGTTAGCATCTCCAGGCCTGATCAGAGAGGAGGGGCTAATCACCAGCCCTCGTGGAGGCCCAGAGAGAGAGGCTCAGCTACTGGCCAGGCCCCAGAGAAAGAGAGAGGCAAAGGCTGATCAACAGCTGCCACAGAGGCTACAGATCAGACCCTGCTTCTTTCTCCAGGCCTCTCTTCGGGCCTGATCTGCAGTCCCCTTGGGAGTCAGTTGCAGCCATGGCAACCCAGCACTGACTGCAGGACTGACTTCTAGTTGGTTGATCCTTAAGTCATTTTGAGCATTATAGACCCTGGGTTTTTATGTTAGGATTATACCTATACAACCACTTATCAGTACCTCCCTTGTATGAATTTTTTATTACAAATGATAAAACAAATTAAACTTAAAAAGTTATACAAAACTTCCATTAGAAGTTTTAAATCTAAGTATTCAATAGAAATCTTTAACCTCTCCACTTACCTGTTAGATGAACTAGGGGTAGAAAACAGGTCAATGGCTGGTACAGTCATTATACCCCCTGCTGAGGTGGACACAGGAGAGGCTGCAGTTGTTAAAGAGGTATGAGGTTTCTTTGCAAGTTCTTTTAGGCGCTGTTCCTATCGAGAAAGGAAGCTACCATAAGGGTTCTAGAAGCAGATTTGTTTATAAGTTCTCTAAACAAAAGTATTTTCTAATTTTGTTCTGATAGCAGAAAGGTATTCTCTGTTTATTAGTCATCCAATTTTAGGACCAAAAATTAGACTAAGTACTGAGTTTTATCTCATTTGAACAACTATACATTAAATACTATTAGTCTCTATAGAGGTCCTAATTATTTTATGAACACCCGTATTTGTTTTTCCAAATAAAAAGAATGCAAACACCTACCTTTAAAGCTTTTAAACGAGCCTGTTCTTCCTCTAATGCTGCCTGCTTTTCCCTTTCATCCACTTTGGTAAGAGACAAGCCAGTACTTGCCAGGGAAGAGACTGCATTAGAAAGTGTTGTCGCCCTAGAATAATTGGACAAAGGTAATTTGGCTTTTTGCCAAACATTTCACTTTATAACCTGGTTATGAAATGATCTGGCAACCAATAGGCACATAATTATGAACTACTGAAGTCAAAACCAGTACTTCATATGAAATATTCTACACAGTAACCTAGAGAATTATTAGCAGTTACATGATTTAAACACACATTCACACTTTTTGTTGTTATTGTTAATCCTCACCAGAGGATATTTTTTCCCCACTGATTTTTAGAGAAAGAGGGAGGGAGGGAGGAAGGGTAGAGAAAAGATTATCTAGAGAGGGCAGGCAGAGAGAAACAATGTGAGAGACACACACATGCCCTGATCTAGACCAGGAATGGAACCTGCAACCAGACACAAGTCATTGACTGGGAATAGAACCTGCAATCCTTTGGTGCATGGGCTGATGCTCTAACCACTGAGATCACTGGCTAGGGCCACATATTCACTCTTTTTAAAGTAAGAGTTCGATTTTATAAAGGATTCTCAATAAAGGTGAGAGACATTGCAGACTGATGAAAATATAGTGTTCCAAGCTCCAAGGAAGGGAACCTATATAATTAGAAAAAAGCTCACACACTCTCAAGAAAATCCAGATGAGTAAAAAAATTCTGAGTTTCTCACAAGAAATGACTCCAATAATTTACAGCCTGGGTTTTTTCAGTGCTACTACAGGAACAGTAAAACATGAACACCCAAAGATGTCGTTCCCAGAGGAACACTGGATACCTCAGAGGAAGGTCAATTTCATTCCAGTCACTGGTCCATCTGGCACTTACTTTATCTGCTACCCTTTTAAATTAGAATTTCCTTTTCAAGCATATTAGTCATGCACAATGTATCATCTCTCACTAGCAGATTCACAGTAAGCTGCTTCCTTTCCCTTATATCAAAACTTTACCAGTATCATAAACCCCAACATTAAATTCCCAAATGTTAATTCTAAGTAAAATAAACCCATGTAGCAAAGAATGCTAACCTGAAGAACTACTCTTCAGTAATGACCATTATTCATTTTCATTTTATCACATACCAAGCATCATTAATCTCTACTCTAAAGCACATAAGTGGCAAAAATATTCAAATTTTATGTAAAATTAATTTAATAAAGGAGCAAGTAATATACTTGTCACAGAAATGCAAGAAACCCAACAATTTTTTTCTAATCCTCACCTGAGGACATGTTTTTATTGCTTTTTTTTTTAAGACAGAAATATCAATGTAAGAGAGAAACATCAATTGGTTGCCTCTCATACACATCCTGACCAGGGATCAAACCTGCAACCTAGGTATGTGCTCTGACCAAGAATCAAACTCACAATCTTTTTTGGTATACTCTCCAACCAACTGAGCCACCCAGAGAAGGCAAGAAACCAAACTAATTTTCTTTATTGGCTTGATTTTTCATTACTTTCTCAAATCTCTGGGCCTTATACATCTAAAAACCTACTAGAAAATTCAAAGAGCATATTTAGAATTAAAAACTTAAAATTCAGTAACAACATTTTTCTTTTCTTTTTAAATTTTTTTTAAAATATATTTTATTGATTTTTTTACAGAGAGGAAGGGAGAGGGATAGAGAATTAGAAACGTCGATGAGAGAAACATCGATCAGCTACCTCCTGCACACTCCCTACTGGGGATGTACCCACAACCAAAGTACGTGCCCTAGACCAAAATCGAACCTGGGACCCTTGAGTCCTCAGACCGATGCTCTATCCACTGAGCCAAACTGGTTTCGACCAATATTTTTCTTTACAAATTAAATTTTGTTGCTAAAAACAAAACAAAAAAACACCAAATTCTGAAAAAATATAAAAAATGTCTAAAAAGAAGGTTCTCATTACATTTCATTCAAAAAATTTTTTTAAAATATATTTTATTGATTTTGTACAGAGAAGAAGGAAGAGAGATAGAGAGTTAGAAACATCGATGAGAGAGAGTCATCGATCAGCTGCCTCTTGCACACCCCCTACTGGGCATATGCCCGCAACCAAGGTACATGCCCTTGACCGGAATCGAACCCGGGACCCTTCAGTCCCCAAGCCGACGCTCTATCCATTGAGCCAAACCGGTCTTGGCAATTTCATACAAAATTTTTTATACTGTTAAAAAGAAATCTTTGGCCGAAACGGGTTTGGCTCAGTGGATAGAGCATCGGCCTGCAGACTGAAAGGTCCCGGGTTCGATTCCAGTCAAGGGCATGTGCCTTGGTTGCGGGCACATCCCCAGTAGGGGGTGTGCAAGAGGCAGCTGATTGATGTCTCTCATCGATGTTTCTCTCTATCCCTCTCTCTTCCTCTCTGTGAAAAATCAATAAAATATATTTTAAAAAAAATCTTTGTAAGAATACAGGAAAATTATTTCAATCACTACCCAACACAGAAATCATGTTACAAGGTTTATGTGAGATGGTCTGTGTTACTTTCAATTTGATAAGTTAATTGGTCTTCGACTTGGAACTCAGCCTAACAGACTGATTAAAATATAACATGTCAATAATCAACCCCATGAACTGACATTAGAGAAAGATGATAAAATCTGATGTCAGACATCCTAGAGTTGAGGCCCAGAGTTACTACTTGCATAGTTCACAGGGCTGTTGTGAGGTTTAATCAAATTTGTAAAAAAGGTAATTTGTAATTATAAAACATCAAACAAATCAATGTGTTATCATCTTTAAGAGAATTCTTTACACTATGAATGCCAGAAGTCAATATCACCATGCCATAATTGCAAGAGTTTCATCGAAAGGTTGATGGAACTTGGGGACTCAACAAGGGCTGAGTCACATGTTATCACCTGCTGGAATGGCTAAAGGCATTTCTCCAAACCTACAAAGGATGACTGCTTGCTGTCAGACAGCTCTGGGGATCTTAATTTATATATTATTGCCTCCTGTTGGCCAAATACCTGAACAGTCTTAGGCTATTTCCCAATCTGACAGTGGATTCTGTACCTAACTCTACCCTTTGATGTGTATATCTCCACCTTGCCTTAGGGCAAATTGTGTTAATAAAAAGCAAGGGGTCCTGACACAAGGAGAACTTGGTTTCTTTAGCCAGGCTCCTCTGCTCCCCCATACACCTTTCAAAAGTGTGTTTCATCTCTGGACTCTTGATTAACTTATGCACAGCCCATTCTCTAGGTTTCCTGAATGCTTTTAGATGCCAGATCAAGACCACCAGTGTTATATGAACACAATTTAGACCAAGTAGTCACTATCATCACCTTAATAAATGCTAACATTTACTGAAGATCAAAAACTATTCTAAGAATTTACTACCCATTTAACCCTTCACAGCAACTCTATGAGGTTGATACTATCATTAAACCAATTTTTAAAGTTATTAAATCAACGTAAATAACTTAGAATTTGATCTGGATTCACCAACTCTTTCAGAAACATCACTCCTGCTCTTTGCCCTCTGAAAAATAGTGTACCTGCTTGCAGCTGTAGAATCTTTGATTTTCTTTCCTTCCAAGGAAGCTAAATGTTGTTCCAAAGCATCAAGAAGACTACTGGGGGCCTGAAATTATAGAAATAAGACTTTCATGATAATCAGGCCATTGATCAAAATAAATCAAGTATCATCTGACATAGGAGGGAAACATAAATAATGAACTAATTAACAATGGAGTTTTAGCTACTTAAGAATGACACTATCATTATTATTATTATTAAGGCCTGATGTACAAAATTCATGCAAGAGGTTCAGCCCTCACAGCCCTGGCTTTGGTCTGGAAGGTCGCCTGGAAAGTTGTTTGGCTGTCCAGTATAATTAGCATATTATGTTTTTATTATTATAAATTAGAGGCCCGATGCATGAAAATTGTATAAGAGTAGGCCTTCCTTCCCCTGGTTGCCGATACCGGCTTCCTTCTAGCATCCAGGACCCAGGCTTCTCTTGCAGACCCGGCTTCGTTGGGAAGATCATCCAGAAAGACATTTGGCCTAATGAGCAAATTATGCTTTTATTATTATAGATAAGAATGACCTAGTAAGGGATATTAATGAACATAATAAAAATATGAAAACTAAGATTATATAAACATGAAACATTTAAGAAGATCCTTAAATTATTTCATTTTAAAAATATTTAACTTATTTGAATTTTAAAGAGAACCATACTCCTAAAAGCTAGATAGACTGTTGAGTAGGTTCCTGGTACTTAATAAGTACCTCCTGATTCATTTTTGAATAATTATTGATAAATCAAACTGAAGACTAACATCAAAGAAATAAAAATTAAAATCACAATGAAATACAACTTCTTATTAACTAAAATGCCTGAAGTTAAATAGTCTAGCAATATCAAATGTTGGTGCATCTCCTATATAATGCTGGTAGAAAGACATCTACTTTGAAAAAATTATCTGGATATTTTTTATTATAAAGTTAAATTATATATTTATCTACCTTAATTATCCAATTCCATTCCTAATTATACACCCAAAATAAATGCAAAAATGTATCTCCTCAAGAAAGGACTTGTTCAAGAATAATTTAAGTAGCTTTATTTATAAATAGTAAAAAACTGTAAATAATCCAAAAGTCCATCATTTGGAAAATGAATAAACACAATTGAGGTAAATATGCACCAGTAAAGAATAATTTAGTAGTACTTTCAATGGCATAGACAGTTCTCAAAAACACTATGATGAACAAAAGAAGCCAAACACAAGAATAAATACTTGCATGATTCCATTTATACTAAGTTCAAGATGTGATAAAATTATTAGAAACCTAAACAATGGTTTGCATGGAGAGAACCAGAGATTGACGGGAAAGGCACACAAGAATTGAGGTGATAGAATTTATTTTTATCAAATGTTTACACTTATCAAACCTCATTGATATAAATATTTACCTCAATAAAAGGAAAAAAAAAAGACTAGTGTTTAAACTCTCAGGCTCTATGGCAAATCTCAACTTAATATAAAGAGTTAATTACTTTCAAAAGGGCAACTTTTCGATGATCTAAGAAAAACTGTTACTAAGTGAAGCAAATGCATGTGGCATTTAATTGCCCCAAATACTGAGATATAGTTTCTGTATTACAGGGATCTAACAATATCTGGAAGAGGCATAACTAGCTAATTTCTCTAACAATGATGACTTGAAAATGATGACTTTATCCTTTATTTGCTATATATATAAAAATCTTGGCACATAGCAGATATAGTAGAAAATTAATTAAAACAAAAAATATTGTATTGTAACATTGACATCTATGTTGAATTGAGAACACATGTGCAATTCACCCACCCCAACAAAACCTTTGGAAAATCGGCAGGCAAAGCACTATCCCAAGAGTTATTATCAGAGATGATGAGAATGTTGATGACAGTAGTAAAAATCTAAAAAAAATCCTATAACACAATAGGCACTGGGCTAGCTACGTTGTATAAATTCACTGCTATGAGGAAGACACTACTAGTACACCTTTTACAAATAAAGAACCTGAGAAAGTGAAAATTAAGTTACTTATCCAAGAACATATATCTAATACATAGCAGGAGCCAACATAGGGTCTAAGGTATGTCTAACCAAAAAGCCTAGAAAGTAATTACTATGCTACAGAATTCTAAATTAAAACTGTGGTCATTTAAACTATAGTTAACATTTTTCTGAAAAGTTTAAGCTGAGGCTTACAAATACTAAACTATCATGTTAAGATAAATAATAACAAACTATTTCCAAAATCTCTTCTATATATATCTTGGTATTTTTTAAAGGAATCTCAAATTTCCATTCCTGAAAATAATAACCACCATCATCTTCCCTGAAGTACAAATAGCTTTGTTTTAGTTCACGTTTGAAAAATTTCTGAATCATTCAGAAATCATCCATTAAGAGGGAGGGAGGGTCAGGAAGCTGGCCCTCTAATCAATTTCAATGCCATGGATGAAGTACAGAAATATGACAGTCTAGCCTGGGTCTTATATTTTTATAATAAAAGATAAGTGAAGGTTGACAAATGGAGTAATAGGTAATCTGAAACTATCAAATCAGTTTATACACATACTGATACTGCACAAATTCATGCACATTGAAAGTTATCACTATTTGCTCTTTCTCTATAATAGAAATGTCAACCAATTCATGATTGATGACGACAGATGGAAACACACACGTGATTGGTGCCAGCAAGAGCTTTATATGTACCACACATGCGCAAGTCAACTTAGCCTTTTATAGAGAAGAGAACAAACTTGCTTAATTAGACCTGCTTTTTGATGTAGCTAAACTTTTTCCAGCCCAGTGAAGCATCCCAACTTCTCTTTCAGGCAATTGTCAGCAACACAGCAGTAAATATCAATCTGAAGCAGGTTATTATTGTATTTAACTGCAGCAGTGTTTGACTATATTTTGTGCAGTGAGAAAACCTGAAGTCATTTTCAAGGTTCACCATTTCTTAATTCTTTTCAGTTGGGTCAAATTTCCAAGCCTTTTAAATCTGTTTTCTATCTAATGATTAGAAAATAGGATTCCACTGAGTCTATCTACCTACTCCAGGACTTCTGTGAGGACCAAATAAGATGAGACACTGGCGCTTCACAGACATTTGGTTACAGTGTGAAATGTTTGCACCTGTAAAACAAGTCATGTTCCTGGGCAGAAGAAACTGCAAGGAGGCTAGTCGCTAGGTGAGGAAGCTGGATGTTGCTACATTACATCATTACCCAGCACCCACAGCCACCATTTCTGGGCTGGCCATGGGGTCTTGGCAGCATTGGCTGCGAGTTGGTGGGCTGTCACTCCGGGGTGGTGGCAGGGCCTGTGTCCCACTTGAGGGAAGATAAGTGTTGCTTTGTCGGCACCAGATCCGTGTTGCCATTTCTCTGTAAATGGCCAGTGACCATCACAGCAGCTCCTGCATTGAGTGTCTGCCTTCTGGTGATTAGTGCCTATCACAGTGACCGATTGGACAGGTGGAAGGACACTTAGCATATTAGCCTTTTATATATTTATATTGTTTTAGCAATATTTTTTTCACATCTTAGTGCATTGTAATGTACTCAATCTTAATAAGGTCAATTTATCTCAAATGCAGAGTGTTTTATTTACATACTAGTGGCCCAATGCATGTAATTCATGCACTGGGAGGGGGAAGGAGGTGTCCCTCAGCCCAGTCTGCACCCTCTCCAATCTGAGACCCCTCGGGGGATGTCTCTGCTGGAATTGGGCCTAAAACGGCAGTCAGACATCCCTCTCACAATGTGGGACCACTGGCTTCTAACCGCTCACCTTCCTGCCTGCCTGATCCCCCCTAACCACCTCTGCCTCGGCTTGGCCCCACCATCATGGTTTTGTTCAGAAGGTCTCCCAACCTAATTTGCATATTGTCCTTTTATTAGTACAGACAGATAACCCATCAATAGATCTATTATGTACTCTTGGCCTGTAAATCAAAGGGATGAAACAGAGCAAACTGAATACAGAGAAATACAACAAAGACCTTTATTAAAAAGATGTTCAGAACAATTTAAAATGAGATAAAAAAAATCTATTAAGGAGAGAAGTGATACAAATGTTACAAGGATAGTTTATGCCAGGTATTTTCATTCCTAATATTCAGTAAAAACAAACAGAAACAGAAAAAGTCAGGGGGGGGGGGGGGGGGAAGCAGGCCGCTTCTTTCCTGTAATTAAAAAAATAAAAATAAAAAAAAAGTATTTCTTATTGATTTCAGAGGGAGTAATGGTGAGGGAGAGATAGAAACATTAATGATGAAAGAAAATCAGAATCACAGATCAGCTGCTTCCTACATGCTCCCTCTACTGGGGATCGAGCCTGAAACCTGGGCATATGCCCTGACCAAGAATCAAACCTCCTGGTTCATAAGGTCAATGCTCAACCACTGAACCACAATGGCCAGCCTGAGCAATTTTTTTTTTTTATGATGATAAAATCAACATAATAGTAACTAACAGTGAGTGCTTAATGCTGTGTTTAGGTATTAACTCATTTAATCGCCCCAACTACCTTATAAAGTGGGTATTACAATATCTCCATTTTAGAGATGACAAAACTGAAGCATAGAGTAACTTCCCCAAATCACAGGGCAAGCTAGTGGAACAGCCAGGACTCAAAGAGATTATCAAAGCCTGCTCTCTTCTTCCAAATCATGTTTTGATGTTTATCCCTATTTAATACTCCTACCTGAGTCAAATAGCCAAAGCAGAAGGTTTAAAACAGGAAACATAAATCCTGTATAAAATAAGTCTCTATCTTCAAGTGGACAAAGGAAATATCCTTTGAAAACTCAAACAAACTGGGTGTTTGTCTTGTATCCTGTCAAAGGAAACAAATTGGGGGAAAAATTCTCTATCAATAGTGCACATTTTGTTTTAAAAATACCATTCTCTAAAGTTCAATTCTTCCTTTTGATGATGACAGGAAAGATTAAAAAGAATAAACTCAAAGAATGATATAGCAGTGGCTAGCTCCACCAATATAAGAGGTAAACAGAACACCCTACATGATCATGCTACAACAATTATCACCAAAATATTAAAATCTGTCAAGAAAAAATCACACTGATTTCCTTGTTGTCATGGGCTGCATATTATTCATTTTGTGCTTTTCACACCTAACAATACATAGCAGATAGTGAATTGATATAAAAATATACTTACCTGTGAAAGATCTGGTATATCACCTCTGTCAATTCCAACTTGCTGTAAGAAGAAGCAACATTGTATTTAATAGATAAAATTATAATAAACATGTTATATAAATAACAATTAGAAAATGACATTTATGACTAGTTCTGTGAACACTATTTTAGAACAATACGTATTTTAGACAGACTTCAGAAAAACAATTAATCTCCAAATATATCCAGATGCTTAGATGTTATTTGATGGCTCTAAAGTTGTAACAGGAGAAAAACCAGAGTGTTTTTGGAAAGTCAATAAGACTATTAAGTTACCATCTCCATATCTTCTAAGCACCTGTATCTTGACATTATCTGAAAAATCTATCACTTCTTGATGCTATATGATAAAAACTCATGGCAAGAATGAAGAAAAGCTGACTACAAACAAGTTTCCTGGGGCATGAAAAGAGTTAAAAAACAAACCTGTTGACAATAACTTTGTCTTCCTCCATAAAATATGCTTTCCCAGGCAATCATCATAGATAACAATTTTTTAAAACCTGTGTTCATTCAAGTAGGCCAGTTTTATACAAATGCAAACTGTTATCTAACTAGGATATAATTATTTTCACAAAGCAATCCCAAATAGGCTTTCATGATGTTCAAGCACTAGACAATTTCCAGCAAAAGAAGATAAAAACCATTCCTATTTATTATACTAGTACCCAAATTAAAAAACTCTTTCCCTCCCTGGCGCTATGTTTCATTTTCTAATAATTCTCTCTTCTCAAGGGCCAGCCCCAGAATGACATCAGTAGAAAATTTGATAAAATAATTCAAACTGAGATCTTAACAGCTAATCAATAACTAATAGATTTGTCCCTTTCAGACACATTTTAAAATGTTACTTGTGCCTTTTTACTCTAAGAATTAAGAAGATCTCATAATAAAATAACAACCACAGACAGCATCATGAAAAAATATTTTATGGCAGGAGAATCTTATTTCTCAGATCATATGGAACTGATGGCCTATTCAATCTCAAAGTGAGACCAATAGATCTGGAGGTAAACAAGAACGTAAAACTTAAGTAAGTAATTATAACTACCAAATGCAAAAGATATAACAGGCCAAAAGGGAAAGTTAGCAAATTAAAATGTATTTAAAGAATTTACTGGAATCATAGCATAAACTTTTATCTTCTGCTTTTAATGTGACTGGCTCTATAAAAATGGGGGGAAAACAATTTCTCTTTGAAAGTTATTTTAAATTCAAAATAAACTGCAGTATACTTTATAAAATAGCTGATTAACACCACAAAGCACATTTTTTTCAAAGGTCTCACCATCCTGTTGTATTCATCTGCTAGAGAATAAAATCACTATGGTAATAGAGCTAAAATCACCAACTTGCTAGTTCCAGTTTAACTATTTTGATAGAACTGATCAATTATAGCCTCCTCATCTTCCAGAATTATCCTAGTAAGACATCTCTGGTGGTGATAGAGAGAGGGTAAGTAAAAACAAACAAAAGCACTTGAAGACCTGTAAGCAAGACAATGCCTGTAAGATTACCACAACTGTCTTCTGTGACAATTTCAGAAAATTATTTCTTAAATAGATTTGCAAAATTAGATTACTCTATTATCCATACTCATGGTTTTTATAATCACTGAAAAACAATACACTACATTCACTTCTGCCAGGAAACAAAACATTTTGAACAATGTGGCTCCAGTAAAAGTCTCACTGAAGAGACTTTAGCACTATCATTGAATAGTTTTCACCATATTTAACACAATAAATCTTCTAATATACATGACTAATTTCAAATATAAAAACCACTGACACTACTGTGTGTCACCTACCCAATTTATAAACTTTAAAAAATTAGCTGTCAATGTTCAGTACTGAATTTAATATACACTTATAGACAAAAACGGTTAAGAAATATAGTCATTTAAAGATAGTTTACCTCTGCAACTTTGAGAAACTCTGAGATTCTTGTCATTCTGGTCAGGAACTTCTTATAGATGTCAAGACCTTCTTTGCACTGATTCTTTTTCATATCAAAATATTTTTCTGCCAAAGAAGTAGATATAAATATACTTTTACATAAAATTATCACACTCAAAAAGAAATCTGGACACACTTGATATATGATATTTGAAAACCAAATCCAAATCCCATTGGGGAAAATAGAGCATTTCTAAGCAAAAATAACTGCATTCCATATACAGTTAACTCCTAAACCATTCATGTGTTAACAGCACCAATTCCCATGCAATTGAAAATCTGCATATACATTAAGACTTCCCAAAATTTTACCTACTAATAGACTAGGAAGCCTTAAGAATAACAGTCAATTAACATATATTTTGTATGCTACATATATTAGATACTATAGTGTTATAATAAAGAAAGCTAGAGAAAAGAAAAGAAAATGTTCAGAAAATCATAAGAGCCATTAGACAATGTTGCTCAGTGGTAGCAGTGTCATCCCGAGCACTGAAAGGTTGGTCTCAGGTTCTATTTCCAGTCAAGGGCACCTACCTGGGTTGCAAGTTTACTTCCCACCCTGAGTCAGGGCACATACAGGAGGCAACCAGCTTCACATTTCTCCTCTTCTCTGCCTACCCTCCACTCTCTCGATACAACTATCCTCATGTGAGGATTAACAAAAGAACAATAACAAAAAATAAAATAATAAGAAAAATATATTTACTATATTTGTTAAAAAAAAATATCTATGCTGTTCAAGGATCAACCATATACCAAATACACAATAAAGCACCATATAATCTTAAAATGCCTCAAAACAACTTATCCTTAAAAAAAATGTTTAATGCATTTAAAATAATTATCCATTTTAAAATTAAGTTTAGAAAAAATATCAATTTTATAGTTAAAGTTCATTATAGAGTAAATTATGAAGAAATAAGATTTTTTTCTGGACAGAAAAATCCCAAGTTAATTTTAAAGAAACTTTTATATTTCTACAAATTACAAAACTGACAGAAGAATATACAGATATATCTAAAAAATATAAAGTTCATTTAGCTAAACATTGTAGTTGTAAAAGTATATTTAATCACTCAGCATGTGTAACAGGTATAAAATTTCTGCCCAAATTGTTACAACAAATAAATATATCTCAATAAATATTTATTCAACCTTAAGTAACAACTCAGACAATATTAGTTACCCATATGACACAAAATAAGAAATAAAATGTTATTAAGCTACAGCAATATTTACCCAATAGGTTAATAATTCCTTCATTGTATGCTGCAAACAGTCTAATGGCATCTTTGAACAAGAGCATGAAGGCAGCATTTATTACTCCATTTGTAAGTTCATTACTATTAACCTGAGGGGAAAATTAGAAGGAAAAAAAAATGAGCTAATCTTATGTTTTAAATAACAATGAATTCCTTCTAATTAAAACACAGTGAATTCATATACTTAGGTGTATTAAAGAAAAAGACATTTATTTCTTGCAATCAGAGTTATAGCCAAAGAGTGCAAAAATCTTAAATCCAAGAGTTTAGATTTTAGTAAAAGCCACAAGCAAACAAACATCTACAACATTAAATTAATTTTGAGATAATTGAAAACAAAAGTACCCTTTAACACTTGAAATTCATGGGCTGTATCTCAAAAGTCTTTTAATTATAAGTTCATTTCAACATTAAATTCTTCTAATTGCAAAATAAAGCCCTTTTCCAGGTGGATGTTCCCTTTGAGTCACCAAGGACTTACTGAATATTTTTAAACCAAAAGGTATTTATTTATTAAACTAGAGGCCCGGTGCGTGAAATTCGTGCAAGGATGAGGTCCCTAGGCCTGGCTGGTGATTGGGATCAATTGGGTCCAGCTGATCAAGGCCGGGCTGGAGAGAAGGCGATGGTCTCTGGGCCAGGCGCAGAAGGAACGAATGCCAGATGCTGACACCACCATTGTTGGCACCCCGCCACTGTGCAGTTCCCCATCTCCCTGCCTCCTCCTTCCCTTGCCACTATGGCAGGTAGGAAGCAGGCTGATCAGGGCCTGCCAACCAGGGGGAGAGACAGGGCATGGGAGGTTGGCCACCAACCCCAATAAGGCCTGGAGCTCGGCCCCCCTGGGAAAGGGGCCACATTCACAGCTACCCACTCTCAGTTCCCCGTCCCAGCCTGGAGGGACCACGGGAGGTTGGCCAGCCGGTGGAAGTTGGCTGTGGGAGTACACTGACCACCAGGGGGCAGCTCCTACATTGAGCGTCTGCCCCTTGGTTGTCAGTGCACATCATAGTGACTGGTTATTCCAGTCGTTCCGGTTATTCTGATGACTTAGGCATATATATATATATATATGGCTACTACAATCACAAAGGCACTGAGCTAAAGTAGGTAGAAGATACTTTTAAATTAAGGTGAACAGACATCCCGCTTTTGGCGGGGACAGTCCCAATTTTTAACAATTTGTCCTGCGTCCCACGGTGTTTTAAAAAAGTCCAGATTTTTGGAAAGAATGCAAGCCAAGCTAGGGAACGGTGGGAGAAAGAGAAGAGAATATACGGTTTTCGGAAGCCATGTGGCTATTTAGCCAGGATATGAGTTTTATATTATTTTTGTTAATTTTAAAATGTTAAACTTTAATAATAACAAATAATTGTTGAAACTGATTATCGAGAACAACAAAGTTCGCATTGTTGATCAGTTGTTAGAATT